CTTAGATAATATGTTGAACTCTTGTATATCAGTTATGTAATAAATATATTTGGTACTCAATGTAATTCTTATAATCCAAGATACTTGTTGAAAGAACGAAAGAAATAAAAAAGAAAGAAACAAACAAACAAATCGTTTGATTTCAGTGAAATAAAGAAACACCCAGTCAATTCCTCATAAATAATGGACTGTTCCGGAAAAGACGCCGTTTGTTTCAAATAAATAAAACAAAATAAAATAAAAGTCCTGAATTTTTCACAGGTACTACTAGTTAGTAGTAGTAGTTATAAATTGCTCAAGGCTGAATACATTAAAAGATCAACAACTTTTTATCTTTTTTATCAGTAAAAGTATGTCTACATGTCTGAAGTCACGCGGCATTTAAATCAACAGCACTGTTATCAAACACTTATCAGTAACACATACAGGTAACTAAGACGATTTTTAAATATTTTTTTTATAATAAACTCTAAGTGTTCAACAGTGCTTTTTCAACAATGAAAGCTTTAAGTATTCGATAATGTACCGTAGTCATTTAGGGCGGTAGCGCAATTCCCATTGAGACGGTACGAATATAGATATATAGATCTGAATACATTAGGAGTCTGAAAATAGGGCATGCTATTTGACGCCCACTGATAAACATTTTAGCATACACATTTTTAAGGTTATGTTTGGTCAATTTACGTTAGAAAAATGTTTAACAACCTTTTTTTTTTAATCAGTATCACACCTTGCAAAGCAGTAAAGCCACTAAGACACAAGGGGATTATTGGGTGGTGGAAGAATTAAAAACAGAAATATTAATAATGATTGGGAAGAGAAAAGCGTAATTAGGAGGACAGTAGATAGCGATTGACACTGCATTTAGAATTTTGAAGATTAAAGCTGGCTGAAAAGCATAGAGCTGAAAGGGAGTTCCACAAGCGAGAAGTGCGAGAAAAGAAATTGTTAGCATAGAATTTACGGTTACATCTACCCAGCTCAACTGTAAATTGATGAGATCTCGACGTCAGTGTAATACTGCGCTTAAGTTAAAAAAACGTCTAGGTACTACAGCGAAGAGCTCATCTAAACAATTTCCATGAAAGTATTTATAGAAAAGACACAGAGAGGCAACCTTACGGCGGTGGTAAATTGATATTTTAGTGTTATTGATTGTTAAGTGAGTTTGAAGATGATAATGAAGATTATAGAAAATGTCAGAAAGAATGAGTCAACGTGAAATCGCCAATGAGCCTAGATTATTGAGACGCTCTCTCCAAGTCACAGAGAAGATGAATGTCAATATTGAAGCGTTTTGTATAGGAAAATAATTTGGTAAATCTTCGAAATTAGATATAAGTCAAGTAATGGATGAAAACAACCTTGCGAAGTGTCAGTTTATACAATAACAGTGATACTACGTCGACATAACGTAAATGGATGAATTGCAACAAAAGAAGCCATTACGAACCGAAATCATTGAACAAAACGAAAAAACTTGGCAAAAAAAACATCTGCTACAAGATAAGAAAAAATGGGTAACTGATATTTACTGACAAAAGAAAAACTGTAACGCATTTTAATGTAAGAAAATGGCGTCCACCGAAGACCAACAAAAAGAAATAAAAATAAAATAAAGGCATAAAACGTAGACCGTAAAATTCAATGGCGGGGACTTTGGGGGCTGCATGAAAACGATGGTGCAAAGAAGTTGATAAAATCGATGGAATACTGAACAGCAAAATATATAATTGGCTTGATTGATTTTATTTAGCGGCATAAAACTCTATGGGTTATTTAATGCCGAAATCTAATATCTTGCATACATTTTTTTTTAACTAAATATATTTTGAACGCAATAGTATGCCATCAACTACATATTTTGTGCATAATTTTATACTTTCAGACTAAACGTATATAGATATATAGTTTGTAGATAAATTATTGTAGATATTAAATATTTTGTCATATACTTATTTCTTTAAGGTAGGACATTTTGTTTACGGTTTCAATATTTTTAAATAGCTTTCTCTTGTTGGTTTTCCTTGTAAAGTTTACGTCTTATAGCTGTTAAGTTCACTTTTATAAGGTTCCGGATGTAGTGAAATGTGAATAGTTTGTGGGAGAAATTAACTAATAAATAAAATAATAATAATAAAAGTAAAGAATTTCATTTTCCCATAATGCAAAAAAAAAAAGCAAAAATGGTTTCCGGTCATGGGAGTATTTTATGATCCCACTTCCGGAAAGGACATGATCGGTCAATTTTCACCTCCCAACCATTGAGTTCGGACGTGTTTGGTAAACGTGCCAACGAAGGAGAGATTCGGCCACCCTCACTTAACCTGACTTGAGGTTGACCATTCTCCGCACATTTGCGATTCATTTTCT